ATATATTATTGGAATTCACAACACCAATGATGGTTTTTGGGTGGCAGGCTCATTTCTGGTGGATATTACCCTTTTTAGAAGTGTGTAAATCTGTGTTATCGCACAATTTTTAACCACAAAGACTGATGATTGCTGCATGTAACGTCTGTGTATCTGTACAACTGAAAGAATGAAAAGGGTCTAAGATGTAATATAACTACCAGTTCAATATAAATAGATAAAAAAAAAACAACAACAACAGATGGATACGATGGTTTCTTTGACTTTTGTTTTTCCAAGAAACTTAATGTTTCACATTTTCATAATAGTCACAGTCTAACTAAGAATTTCCATTTGATCTTTTGATTTTAATGGATCTGCATTTTCATTGTACCAAAGCTGCACTGCAATATGACTGAGTCACTGTTACAAAGCTGTAAACTGTAGTTGAAGTGTTCAGCCAGTGTGTAATTACCCTTCACTGGTTTTCCCTTGAAAGTTCCTACTGTAGAAGGTGAATCATAAAAGTCAACAAACGAGTGGCCTGAACTGTTCAATATCAAAATTAATTTGTAATTGTGTTCCGTAGCAGCTTCACTGTTGCCATATCTTATCTATATCTTGACTGTACACATGGCTTTTAATGTATTTTCTCATTTAAGCCATATTGTGTTATTAGAAACTGGTTTAAAATTATGATTATAGTACGAGTACCTTTTCAGAATATTGGTAAACCATGTAAACAATTGCAAAATGCATGAAATTTTTCTTGACGCAAAAACTAAGTTGACTCATGTAGTAATGTCTTTATTGCTTCTGCTTTTTAGATTAGAGTTTCGATTACCAGGTTGCTTGTTACAGATGCAACCAGACTAGTAAAACAAACATTAAATGCAGATAAGAGAGCTGTTCTTAGTGCAATACATTAAAAGGTCAAAGTAAACAGACTCTTGTGAGGTCATGACAAATGCCATTTCCAGGGAGTTGCTCTTTATATGGAGTTAAGTTCAAGACATACTGATACGTTCACTGTTTGTCAGTTTTCCACCAACGTAGCCTGGACTCTTCAGACCTCTCTGCACAAAAAGACTCAACGAGGACCATAAATACTGAGGATACTCAGGAGATTTTATGTCAGCAAGGCTGGTTTAAAGCCTGTCACTGACTCTGATTTCATCCTGGTACAGCCTCACTCTGATTACCAAACAGGCTGGTGAGATAACAGGTTCTGTTCAAACACCACTGTCTGAGTGAGTGGCATTGGGTCACTTACTAGGAAGGCCATTTTGACCACACAGAATCCCCTTGCATCATCTCCATCAGTGCTGTTACCATCAGGCTGGCATAATCGAGTCCCCTTGGCTAAGACAAAGGTCAACAGAGGATCATTTATCCTTCAGCTGTAAATATTTTAAATAATTTTTTTTAAATGATGTTATATCCTTATATTATTACAGACTGATGTTTAACTCTGATGCCCTTTATCAGTGTTTGTGTTACTTGTTTCTATTTAGAGCGGTGTCACAGATGACTTTTCTCTCCGCTGCTTTGTGACAAACAATAAAGTTGTTTCTATTCTCTTGTGCTTTAAGGACACCACCCATGTCCTTCCATATCATCATTATGTTGCAAACGGTGCAGAATTGTAAACAACAGAGCTGGAGCGCACCCTGCTGGACAAACTTTGCAATGACACCATAATCTTTCAGGGAAAAAAAGGGACTTCTTTTTCATCATACCCGGGACAAAACACTTTGCAGATGATATGCTGTATGTCTGTGGTATGTCAGCATTTTTCAGGCTCTAGAAATAGAAATTCCCTTACATCAGATTACAGCTTAAAGTGTTATTCTGTAATATAAAATATAAAGACAACATATTAACAACTAATAATATATCTAATATACAAATTTTATACTTAATGAGAGTCAGACATATCCAGATAATATAGGGACAGCAAACAGTGCTTACCACACTGACTTCTGCTCTTGTAAGCATTTGAAATATGAGGGCACCAGCTGTTTTCCCACTCTTGCTTGACATACAAGTTGCTGCTGTATGCAGACTTTGATCCACATATATAGCCTACAGCACTGTGCTTAAGCCTTGATAGAGCCTCGTTTCTTTATATGTTGCTACGGAAACAGGAAATAGGGGCAGCAATTTATGAAAATGTACAAATATCCTTGAAAATAGAGTACATAAGGGAAAGGAGTTTGCAGAGTTCCAACAAAGTTGAAAGTCTGTATTTGGTTTGACCACCTTTATTCTTCATCAGATCTCTTAGGGAAGCTTTCTGGTCATTTCTTTAAGTAGTCTGCAGGAATATTTCCCCAGGCTTCTTTGGATGATCTCTGTCGAAATGATCCCACACTGCTTCAGTAACGTTAAGGTCCAGTATGTGTTTTTCTATCCAGATATTTTACTGCATTGGTAGTGAGTTTGGAATTTCATGCTGAAAACTGAAGCCCCGGCCAATCAAAGGCTGGTGTACTTTTTTCTGTTCATAATTCCTTCAATTTTTACAAGATCCCCACAACCACTGGCTGAAATGAACCATGACAAACCATGACAGAGCCTCCACCGTCATTTGCAGATGGCTGTAGACACTCACTGTTGTTACATAATTGGTTACAATTAATATTTAAGTAATTACGTATTGTATCATGTAAATGACAAGCATTATCATTTGTAACCTACTGTTTGACCAGCTCTGAATGAGAGCCTTGTTGTACGACTTAGAAGGATTGAATACAGAAATAGGACGATCACAATAGTGTCTTTCTCACATACCTTTTAGAAATCTTAACAGTTTATAAATGTTAGAGCAGCTGAGCTAGGGGGCTATGTACGGTCACATGTTACGACAGTTTGTTTTTAAGCCCTTATTGAGAATTTCCATTCACCAGGAGAATAGAGTCAAAGTCTAATTGTACCCAATGGCATTGTTTTGCTGAACCCATAAAATGAATTAGATTTTCCAAATGCACGTTTCCCTCTACAGTTTAATTTAGTTTAAAAAAAAGGACATAACCACACACGCACAGTATAATGTAAGCAATTTGAAGTTTTTGTCGAAATAACAACAGCAACAAAAAGTTGTTTGAGCTTCATTTAGCAAAATGAATAATTAGGAAAGTCAAAATGTTTATAGTATAATTAGTCAGTTGCACTGCTTTGGCGCCCTCTGCTGTACAGAAACACAAAGGACACTAATTGTTGTGTTTCTAAATTCAGACAAAAATATTTTATTTATTATTAAACTATATGTTTTAAAAATAATTAAATGCTGCAGAAAAAAGAAATAAGAAAAAAATAAGCCGAATATTCAACATTTATTTTGTAATTTGGTACAAGCTATTACGTAACACGGACATAAGAAAATTTGCTCATATCTGGCTGGGAGTTGTAGTTCTTTTTTGCCTCGACTCTTGCTGAGTTTGGAGCGTAAAGCACTCCAACTCCCGTGATGCCACGGCACTCACCTAAGCCACTAGCTGTGCACGCCTACGCTAAATAAACCCCATCGACTGTAATCCTTACTGTACACACTTGAATCCTCTGCGGGTGTTTTTTGCTTAACTGTTAGCTTGTTTTTCCTCCCCCAACTACAGACAAGAAATGGACAACTCTGGGAAAGAGAAGGAAGCTATTCAGCTTATGGCCGACGCTGACAAAAAAGTCAAGTCGTCTGGTTCTTTTTTGGGAGGGATGTTTGGAGGGTAAGACAGCACTGCACCAAAGAACAACAGCTAGCAAGCGTTTAGTGTCAGCGGCAAAGTTGGCACGGAGCCTGTTTCCATTCACACTTGCTTTCAGTTAGCTAGCTGAGGTGTCCGTATGTGAACAGGCTAAATGTTCTAGAAGTTTAGCTGATTGTTAACGTAGAGGAAGATGACATGCAGTCCAATCGTCCCTGCGAGGCAGTTAGCTAACTTAGCTGTTTTTAGGTTTGTAAACAAGCCAGCAGATCACGACCTCCTGCTAGACTTAGCGCTGGCCTTGAGGCTACGCAGCAGACTGTTTTAGCAAGCTTAAAATATCTAATTTATTTACTATAGCTGTAAGTCTTTCCTTTGTTTAATACTGCCTGTTATGTCATCTTACACATACAGTGTACTGGTAAGTTCATTAATGTCATTGAACTGTTTATTTCTATTAAATCAGTTTAATGGCAAGTCCTGGATCATGTTTCTTAATTAAATACCTCCCAAAATAAAAAGGACTTAAAAAAATTAGAAAACAACGTAATCAGAGTTAAATCACCAGCAGCAGCACATCATCTAATCCTGATGTAATCCGCAGAGGAGTGAATTTATTGCATTAACTACAGTTAATGGTTGCCTTCAGCTGTGACCAACACCCTCGTTAATCCCCATAACTATAGCAATGGCAGATGCTGTCATTAGATTCATGCTATACATAAACTATGGAGGATGCTTGGAAGAAGTGTATTTTGATTAGGAAGCTCCTATCTCACACCCTCTGGTTTATCTGACCAGTTCTAACTAAATAAACGTTCCTCTTTTATATCTGTACCTGTATTCGTCTTGCTTTCCCAATGGTCGTCATTACAGAAGCTCTATCCAAATCTTTTGCCACTGTCAGTGACCCCAGAAGAGATCAGCATTACCTTATTTAAATCTTGCAAACGTGTGTATATTCTATCCGATAATGAATAAAAATATTGTTTGTTTAGACTCTTAATGCAAAAAGCCTTCGACGATAGCCCCATGTGACTCAGGGGGGGTGTTTTTCTCTGAACCTCTGCACAGATGAACCCCAGATGTTACTACTCTGCAGTTCTTATCCAGGATAACCATTGCCAGGCTTCATATTGCTAATTCTGTTGCCGCCCAGGCGATGATGTAATCCTCTGCCATGATTGAATGGCCAGAGTATGATTACGACTACAGGGAGCTCCCAGGGGTCTGCTGGCTGTCAAAAGGAATTGAGCTCTACAGTGCCTGTGTAGAAGATTTATTTAGCCAAGCCAATCATTGCATCTTAGTGGAAAATCTAACAATAATGTGTCTTTACATATAGCTCGGCATGATCGTCCTCTTCATAAACTAAATGCAATGAACATTTGCACTAAATTCAAAACTGTGTTCTTGTTTTTCTCATATGAATATATTTTTTTAGGGGACATCACAAAGTGGAAGAGGCATGTGAGATGTACTGCAGAGCAGCCAACATGTTCAAGATGGCCAAGAACTGGAGCGGTGCGATGAACTGATTATTGCTTATGACATCCACACCTTAAAATTTTCCACTCACTTTTGCTGCTGTCTTGAACAAGTTTTTATTTATTAATTTTTTTTGGGCGCTGTAACTGCAAAGTTTGTGAAAGTGCCACACTTAAATTGGGTTCAAGTTATGCGCATAATTAAGGGTGTCAGCTAAATCCAAAGTGTGCAGTATGTGTGTGTGTAACAGTTTGGCATCTCCCTCGTCTCCAGGTGCTGGAAATGCATTTTGCAAGGCTGCACGTCTCCATATGCAGCTGCAGAACAAACACGACTGTGCCACCAGTTTCATCGATGCTGGAAATGCTTACAAGAAGTCTGACCCTAATGGTAAGACCAGGCTGCTAATCACATGTAATACTCTTTATATTCCAACTGTATAAATGAATGAAGTGTTGATTGTGGAGCCCAGAAAGGAGATTCTGTTAATCTGGATGCAGCGTTTTCAGTAATCACTAATCCCAATGGCTTTTTCAGTCGGTGATGAACTATTTCTCTCACTGAGAATGCTGCATTCACATGAGCAAAATCATCTTTTTCTTGACTGGATTATTGATCATGCATTAGACTGAGCTTTAGGCTGCAAGGTTTCTATGGAAGCTTTGTTCCACAAAAAAATAAATAATAATTTCAGGTTACGTATCACAAACGTTTGAGTTATAAGTCAAATTTTTGAGAAAATAACTTAAATATATAAGTTGACGCTGTCATTAAGGAAGCTCTGTGAAGGTGCTACATGAAAGCCAAATGAATTACAAATGAAGTTTTTGTGTTGCTAGCTGAATCGCCTGGCATTGTTTTCAGCACAACTGCAATATGTTCATGTTTGATGTACACTGGTAGCTCAATGATGCTATCACTGTCCAATTTTGCGTGTGCATGTGTCTGTACCATCTGCCATCTGTTTCCAGGTAACAAGGAAAAGGTGTCATTCACTGAGCTTCTTGATTGGCAGAGCTAACTTGAAATTTAATCTTACTAACTCAAAGGTTTGAGAAAGTAGCCTGCAATTTCTTCTGCCAGTAGTGGAAACAAAGGCTTCCATAGGTTTCACTGTCAGCCTGCTGTGACTTTGATGTTGGCATGTTAAGCAGCTTGTTCACCGTGTTGTGTAAGATTGTTTCTTTGAGCTGCATGCTATTTACCTGTGACTGATGTCACTCTCTTTGTTGCTGTGGGGTACTGTCGTCACCTTGAGCTTCAAATTCATACCATAGCTGCATCTCCTAAAAACCCGGGACGAGTTTGAATCCCGGTGACCTTGAGCTCGAGGTCAAGTTCAGAGATCAAGTTTTCTGAAATCTTGTGAATGTGATAACCCGAGAACAAGGTTACATAGGATTTTAAAACTGATACCACAGGTGTGTTTACCAGTATTTTTATATTTTGCCTTTATAAGTAAGAGGTAAGAAATCTCTTTTATGAAAAGCGTGTTAGATAATTGTATGACTCACACCATTTCACCCCGCTGAAAGAACATCCCGTGTATACCGATGTGCAACACGATGCTGTGCAAGAGAAAGTGTGAGAAAGCTTACATGATGTCTAACTGTTCCCTCCTCTTCCCTTAATGCTGCTAAAAGAGGCAATCAAGTGTTTAAATGCTGCCATCGATATATACACAGACATGGTAAGATTTTTATAGTGTCTGATTGTGACTTGTAGTTTTATTTTTTCCAAGACTGTACTAGAAGTCCCATCACCTGGATAACCGAAGGCCCTCATACACATCTGTGCTGTAGCAGGCTGCCTCTGCCAGTATCAACATATCCACTGCCCATGTTGTGTTTATTGAATGTTGTTCTCCAATTTGCCTTTTTCTTGTTGTTTTTCTTCATGTTCCTTTAAAGAGGGTGATTCTTAAATGTCTTGTAGCCCCACAGGCTGCTACTTAACCTCCCCTCTCAGCACTCAGAGTGGAACCTTTCATTGACTTGAGAGGCATCTGTCTGGATAGATCCAGTGTGTAATGATTTTTTTCCCCCCTTTCTTTGTCCTTCAGGGAAGATTTACCATCGCAGCCAAACACCACATCAGTATTGCAGAGATCTACGAGTCTGAACTAGTTGATATTGAAAAGGTAATGGTGTCATGTAATCAGATTATAATACCAACTACTGTTAAAACTAATTATGGTGCAAATTTTCTTCAAGGGAGATTGAAAATATAAATATAAGGGCTTTTTGTTGCTTTGTCTTCTGTAAAGGCGATTGCACATTATGAACAAGCAGCAGACTACTACAAAGGAGAGGAGTCGAACAGGTACTGTTCCCTTTACTAGTGTAAAATATTGGATTTTGTCAGTCGTTGGTTTTTTTTTGTGTGCACCCTCATCGAAGCTGTAAAGGTCTACAATAGTCGGCCACAACATTAAACCACCAGCCCAATATTAAATAAGTAACCTCACAACTTCAGCACAGCGCTAACCCTTCAGGGTATGGACACAGGCTTCTGGAGATGTTCTCTAGTGTCTGGTGCTGGGATGCTGACAGGTTGAGGGTTAAATCCTTCTTGGATTGATGTCCAGCTGGATTGAGAACTAGCTGAGTTTAGAACAGGAATTTCAAACTCATCTTACATCGTATGTACATTAACTGCACATTTAATCGTTGAAATATCTTAATGCAAGAAAAAGAAGTGCAATCTCTCTAATGTGTCCCAGTTTTTCTTCGCAATAAGGAAGTGTGTCAGCATGACTCTTTGAGCTTCAATTGTGAGAAATGAATGTATAAAATAATAGAAAAAGCTATATTTTCTTTTCTTTTCTTTCAACTTATAAAAAAGGAAACTTTTTGTCTTTTAATTGCTTATCTGTTACTTTATTACTGTAGTATGAATGGGTATGGGGGAAGTCTTTATTATTAGGAAACATTGTAAAATTCATGAAAGTACAGATATAAGTTTAAAATCTATGCCCTCCTTCACATTTTCCAAAGATGTCCAGGTTTTGAGTCTTTGCAAGACCATTTCAGGCTCGTGGGCTTCACGTGTCACACCGCTGGTTTAGAAGATGGGTCGGTTGTTTTATCATGAGCCACTAAAGGGATGTTGGTTGCTGCAGAAGGTATTGCAGCATCGACTCTATATAAGAAAATGGACATAGCTGTGAGACTTCGACCATCGGTTATGGGTTTGTTACGTTTTTGCCGCTGCTATGTTAGTTTTATGGACAAAAAGGGTGGTGTGCTAAGTTACCAGCTACTCCTAGCAAGCTTTGTTAGCAAGCTACATCTAAACATTGTGCAGGTGCAACACACAGACAGATATCTTCTGATAAGTGCAAAGCAACATACTAATAAAATAGAGAACTAGAGGAACTGCA